AAGCTGGTGTTTGCAACTGGCTCAATCCTACTGTGAGTGGCAGCAGAATTTGGACCCTGAGACCTGGCAGTTTGTGCTGGGATCAGACCTGCTCCCTGCTCTCCTGCCCCCTCAGCTCTGTGCCGATGGGACGTCAGGGATGGAAGGAAGTTTGCTACAGCACTTGACTCCCCTTTGCCCTGCAGGTACTGTGGGGAGCGCTCCCAGTTTGTAGTGGCCAGCAGCACCAACAAAATCCAGGTCCGGTTCCACTCAGACCAGTCCTACACAGACACGGGCTTCTCTGCAGAGTACCTGTCTTACGACTCCAGCGACCGTGAGTTGGAACCCTGGGGCTGGGGGAGAAACTGATTTCCCTGAGATCCAGAGCTGCTCCTCCTCCGTGCTTCCCTAGCCTTTTCCAGGGGCATAGCAGCTTGTCTTATTTTACCGCAAACCTCATTGTGTCCCTGCTATGTTCTGCTGGAGGCTGGCACAGGGAGCACTGTGTGCTTTGGGGAGGTGATGTAGAGGGGACACCTGGAGGGCTCATGTGCGGTTTTGCTCCCTTCTCCCTCCCAGCCTGCCCTGGCAAGTTCACCTGCAACACGGGTCGCTGCATCGACCGGAGCATGCGCTGTGACGGGTGGCTGGACTGCGTGGACGGCAGCGACGAGAGATCCTGCAGTAAGTCCATCCTTGGTTTCCCTTTGGCATGGCATGGCATGGGAAGGGTCATGATGCCCTGGGGTGGCTGTTCTGGGGGTATTTGTTCTGGGCAGTGTGCCTCGGTGCTGCCTGGAACCAGCGCTGCCGCTGTTCTCCAGACTGCAGTGAGAGGCACTCGATGTGGGATCTGTTTGGGATCCTTTCCCAGCCTAGGAGCTGTGAATTCCTGCTAATCCGGCCCTCTCCCAGTGGCATCTCTCTCCATTTCCAGTCCCACTCAGCTGGGAATGTGTTTTTCTGTGTAATCCTCCTGGTTGTGGGTTTGGCTGAGCTGGGTGTTGTGAAGGGACACCTTTTGTTACCCAACCGGGCAGGCTTTGCAGAGCACATCTGGAAAACCTGTGGGATACATGGAGTTGTGTCTTTGTGCAACAAGTTTTCCTCCTGAATTAGCAGAGCTGTCCTGTAGTTAGTGTTACTGTCCAGGGTCTGCGGTTCATTAGAGAGGATGGAATCCCCTAGATTGGGATCTGGTTCCCAGGGGAGTGGTAGTTTTCTGAGGAAGAGTGGCCCATGATCAGAGTTTCTCAGGTGCTTTCTTGCTGCTTGTAGCAAGTGCTTTGCTTCAGTTGTTGCCTGAGGCTGTCCTGCAGTGATGTCAGCTTCAGCCTCTGCTGCCCGAGACAGGACAGTTCCAAATGGTTTGGTTCTCCAGAACAATGGAAATACTGTGCTGTAGCCCGAGTGCGTCGTGTATCTATGTACATGCGCACGGTCTCGAGCTGTTTGGCGGGTTCCCGAGTGTTTGCACACCCACTGGGAGAACTGTCATGGTGGATGGGTCGCTGGTGACTCCACAGGTGCCTTTGCAGGTCTCTCCCCTGATTTCTAGCATTGGAAGGGACTGCCCAGGGAGGTGATGGAGTCCCCATTCCTGGAGGTGTTTAAGACATGGCTGAACATGGCACTCAGTGCTCTGGTCTGGGTGACAAGGTGGGGATCGGTCACAGGCTGGACTCGATGGTCTTGAAGCCCTAATGATTCTGTGATTCTCACTGCCCTTTTCCAGGCTGTACTGAGCAGCAGTTCAGGTGCCAGAATGGTTGGTGCAAGCCCAAGTTCTGGGTTTGTGACAACGTGAACGACTGTGGTGACAACAGTGATGAGCTGCAGTGCAGTGAGTGACTCGCTGAGGGCTGGCGTAAAGGGGACTGGGAGTGTGGGGGCTTGTGGTATGGAGGGAAGCAAGTGCTGTGCTGGAAAAGAGTGGGCAAGAAACCCAAAATAACAGCCAGGCACGGGGCGTGGCAAGGACTTATCTGATGCAGCCTCCTTGAGCCCCGAGCGAGAGCTTGGAGGAAAGAAGGATGTGCAGAGGTGTAGGAAACGTGGGTTTTGGGGAAAGAAAGGACTGAGTAACTGGGGGGTGGTGTGCAGTTTGGAGAAGAAGAGATTGGAGACACAGGATGCTGGAGCTGCAGAGGCTTTACTTGGGGAAGGCAGTGGACACAGCTGTATGTCAAAGCGCTGCAGGATTCCTGCCCTGCCCTCAGGAGCTGCTCTCTGTCCCCAGGCTGTGCAGCCGACAGCTTCAAGTGTGACAACGGGAAGTGTGTCCCCAACGCACGGAAGTGTGATGGGAAGGATGACTGTGGGGACGGGAGCGACGAGGGCAGCTGCAGCACAGGTGAGGGTGGACTGTGGGGGCACCTCCCTCGGATGCAGCCTCTGATGGATTTCTTGGTGGTTGGGCATCCTGGCGTGTGTTTTCTCTCATGGGGTTGGCATGTCCTGGAGATGGGGGGAAGAGGTGATGGGCTCCTGGGCGGTGTGACCTCCCCAGAACTGGGTCTGACCCCTGTCTCTCTGTCCTGCCTGCAGCAGGTCAGACAACAGTGCCCTGCAAGGAGTACACGTACAAGTGCCGCAGCGGGCACTGCATCAGCAAACAGAACCCTGAGTGCGACGGGGAGCAGGACTGCGAGGACAACTCTGACGAGGACAACTGCAGTGAGTGCCCTGGGAATGGGGGGAACACTGGATTCTAGGCTGGGCCTCTTAGAGAAACACCCCAGTGTGGCAGAGAGAGCCTCTGGGTATTTCTGTGCGGTGGCTTGATCTGGAAATACCAGGATGTATTCTATATCAACCTGGGGAGTGTCTGCGTTGTTCAAGATGGGGAATACAGGAATATCTGCACATTTATGTATTTAGGAAGTAAATATTATAGCTAATGTAGCATCAGCCCTCCCTGACATGAGTAATGGGGCACTCGTGCTGTCAGATATCCCCAAGGAACAGAGGGGAGGTATGGAATCAGAACAGGAGTAACCAAGCACCCCTTTCCTTCCCCACCCCAGACTGCGGGACCCGCTCCTACGTCAGGAAGTCGCGGATTGTCGGCGGGCAGAACTCGGACGTGGGAGAGTGGCCATGGCAGGTCAGCCTGCACGTCAAGGGCCAGGGCCACATCTGTGGGGCTTCGCTGGTCTCGGAGAGCTGGCTCGTGTCAGCAGCTCACTGCTTCCTGCCCCTGCAGGGCATCAGGTACAGGAGAGCCGGGTCCATCCCTTTTCAGGCATTTCAATAGGAAACCACCAATTTTGAGAGGCATTTCTTGAGGAAACTGTTTAAGGCAGCGAGCTGTGAGATGGGGCCTCACCCTGTGTCTCGTGCAGGTACTCGGACCCCAGCCTGTGGACAGCCTACCTGGGCCTGACCGACCAAGGCGACCTCAGCGGCCCGAACGTGCAGACACGGAAGATCAAGCGCGTCATCTCCCACCCCTTCTTCAACGACTACACCTACGACTACGACATTGCCGTGCTGGAGCTGCAGAGCCCCGTCACCTTCTCGGCCGTCGTCCAGCCCATCTGCCTGCCCGATGCCACCCACAACTTCCCTGTGGGCAAGGACCTGTGGGTGACTGGCTGGGGAGCGACCGCGGAAGGAGGTGAGCGCTGGTGTGGGAATTTGGGGCTGCACTTACGTATTTTATATAGTTTTCCCAGAGAAACTGTGGCTGCCCCATCCCTGGAAGTGTCCAAGGCCAGGTTGGACAGGGCTTGGAGCAACCTGGGCTAGTGGAAGGAGTCCCTGCCCATGGCAGGGGGTGGAACAAGATGAGCTTTAATCCCTTCCAGACCATTCTGTGATTCTATGATTTTTGTGTTTCTTGAGGGTAAAAAAGTGGGAGCTGCTTCAAAATATGTATTTTACTTACCCTCACAGGCACTGGAGCCTCCATCCTGCAGAAGGCAGAGATCAGGCTCATCAACCAGACTGTGTGTAACCAGCTCCTGACGGACCAGCTGACACCACGTATGATGTGTGTGGGGATCCTGACTGGGGGTGTGGACGCCTGCCAGGTAGGGCAGCACTTGGAGTTAGTGCTCTTTGCTGTTTATTCGTTAGGGAGGCAGGCCATTTTCACTTATATTTACACTTTTAGCCTACACCAAATGTATGTGAATCCTCCTGGATTCAGACAACGGACAGATTGGAATGGGTGCCAGCAGCAACTTGTGTCGACACATGACTTAGTCTCAAAAAGTGCAGGACTTACACTCAAAAACATCTGACCAAGTAGGAGATACAACCCCATCCAGCTTCTGGCTGTTCGTTATTCTTAGTTAGCAAGACAGACTGCTTGATTTTATAGCTGTGTTCTGGCCCTGTAACTCTTATTGCCAGACTTAAATATTTGTTTCAGGGAACGGCCAAAAAATTGTGCTGAGTTAGAATTGTTTTTGAGATGTGGAGTTTTACTGACTGATTATTTTTTGCTCAGTTTTGACTTCAGCACTTTGTATTAGGACGCTGTAGGGGGTTGGTGCTCATGCTCCTGTGTGTTTGTGTGCAGGGAGACTCCGGGGGCCCCCTGGTCAGTGTGGAGCCCAGCAGTCGGATGTTCCTGGCCGGAGTGGTGAGCTGGGGGGATGGCTGTGCCCAGAGGAACAAGCCTGGAGTGTACAGCCGGCTCACCAGCCTGCGAGACTGGATCCAGCAGCACACAGGCCTCTAGGGATGGATGGATTCCTGCCTGGACACCTCTTGGACAGTGCTGGCTGGAGACACTTGGCACTGCCAGCTATGCACAGCCTCTACTGTGAACTTCAACCCTCCCTCTACCTCGCTGCGAGCGCCTGGGACTCCCTGTGCACCAGAGCTGATGGTTTGGTTCAGTCTTTAGTGTTCCCAACTTAGAAATTCATGTTTGGAGAAGTTTCTCCCCTGGTGGGTAAGCTAGTGCAGCTCCCATGAATGAGCCATCATTCAAGATTACGTATAATAATAAACTTAAGAAGTAAAAAAAAAAAAAAATTAAATTTAAAGAAAAAAGAGGCAAACACTTTTTGTTTAGAGGCAAACTTTATTGGACAGGTTCAAAAACATGCTTTCAGAATATATTCTAAGTCCTACATTTGTTTTCAAATGGCCATCCACATGTGGTGTTCAGTTGTGAGGGGTGGAGAAGGGAGGTCTTACCATCGTTTTAGGGGGGGTCCCCTTCTTGTCCCATGCTGTGGTCTTCTCCTTCTGTCCTCTGTCCAACTCAGCTTCTGGCCTGGCTGAGTCCAGAGCTGGAGGCCAGAAAGAGAGAACCCATCACTCACCCTGAGGGAAGCCATGGGAAGAGCTGCTTGCACAGATGGAGACCCCAGGGCCACTGGCATCCCCACACTGTGCCTTAACTCCACTCTGGGCTGAGCTGATACAGCTTCTGCTGAGCTCCAGGTACCTGAAGCGATGGTGGAGAGCACAAAGGCTGCACTGAATCCGTCCTGGAGTGCTCCCTGCAAGGACAACATGGGTCAGCTGTGCCCACACCAGCCTTACACTCCTACTTTTGTAAAGAAAAATGTGACTTGTGAATGTGCTGATTTCCTTCCTCTCTCCTGTGTAGCCTGTTCCTTGCTCCAGCAGAGCCCACTCCAGTTGAGTTGAGTTAGTACCTTCCTTACCTGTAAATACATTGTTTTGTAAAACTCTCTGAAGTGAGATGCTCCAATAAACTGGGATATTTTCTAGTACTGTGCCTGTGTGGTTCTTCCTGAGCTTCTGTGCAAATGTTCCTGAGTCAGAAACCAGCAGCACAGACCCCCAGTGCTAAGAGGAAGTGGAGCTGCTCCACATAAAACACTTGAATACTGCACCCCTGTGCACAGCAGCTCCACTGTGGTGAAGAAGAGTCTCGGGAGAAATCCTCACAAAAACCAGCTGTAAGGGCTCACAGGAGAATGGTCTGTGCCCCAGCCCTCTCTGCAGAGAAACAGAGGTAAGGAACATTTTTGTATCTGTGCTTACATGATGCTGCAGCAGCATAAAAGAAGCATTTAATGTGGTCACTGTTGCCCAGGGAGCAGCCGTTTGCAGCACTGAGCTGTCACAGCCAATAAGGCACAGATGGTTTAATTCCAATGTCCCAGTTTGTAGGTAGCTCTGCCAGACAAGCCCCACAAAAAGCTTCCCTAAATTTGAGGTATTATGGATGATGATCCCCAGAAGTGGCCTGGGATAACAGGGTGCCATAGGAGTAAAGAGCCCCTGGCACCTGCACCCGGGGGAACTGCAGTGGGATGTTCCATCACCTGCTGAGGACAAGATCCGGTGTCTACTCACTCTCTGTTGTGCCCACACGTGGTCTGGGGATCCTGCCACATCCAGAAGGATTGTTGAGCCAAGCAAGGGTACAGGAGATGCTTTTCCAGACAGAAGTGTGAATCCTGTGCAACCGAATCTGAAAGAGAAGTGTGTTCAGACAGGTTTTGCTTTACCAAGAGCAGTGTCACTCACCACAGATCCTCTTTCCTCCCCAACAGCCCCATTCCAGGCTGGCACTGAGCACATGGGGGCTCTGAGGAAGCCAGGGGGGGCTCTGAGGGGCTGGCTCAGCCCTGCAGCCTTTCCTTGCCCTGTGTGTGCTGGAGTGCACAGACCAGCAGAGCTCCTCGGATCTCATATCACCTGCCCTGAATTACTGGGGTCTGGGGGAGATTTCCTAAATACCTTTTTGGCTCAGGCATCAAATTCATCCTTGTTTTTGCCAGTGTATTTCCTTTAAGCCCCAAACACACACAAAACTGAGATTCAATTCCCTGGGAAGAGCACACTGGCTTCTTCAAGCAACCTCTCAGTGAACTTGGGGTGAAGAGCTCCTTCCTCCCACTGCTGTGGGCTCACAGTTTCAACACAACTCGAGGGGACAATTTCAAGCCTTGTGTAAGATCACTTGATGCAGAAGCAGAGACAAAAAACCCACTGTTTTTGTTCTTGTCATCATAATATTTCTACTGTGCAGAGGAAGAGCCTGTTGTCCGACATCATCCTCAGTCCTACACCTGCAATGAAAGGGCTCAGGCTTCCACAGCATTTCCCTCTGGCCAAGTACAAAGCTATGAACTGGCTATCCCTCCCTTCACAGCTCTTTGTGCTCATGGAAAAGGGCAACAAGGATGGACATGGATAAAAATATTCTTACAACCAAAGCACAAATAAAGCAGCAAGCGCCATGCCTGACTCTTCTGTGTTTGATTTCAGAGCAGCAGCTGCCCCTCACTCACCCCACATTTCTCCCTCCATCCTCAGGCTCCACGGTGCAGGAATGGCTGCACCTGTACAGCATCACACTGGAAAGGAAGAGGTAACCATGAAACCTCACTGCTTCCTTCAGGGAGGCACCTTAGAGACAGAGATAGCTGCAGGCTCTGGAGGAGAGGCTGACCTGACTGCTCCCCTGCACAGATCCTGCTGCTCCCCAGCCTCACAGAACAGACAATTTCCCCTCACACATCCCAGAAAAGAGAGAAACATCCCACCAACTGGGTACACCTTGCCCCCAGGCCATCAGTACAGCAGGACTATGTGAAAGCTCAGTTCCCGCTCCAACAAGAACCAGTCCTTCATAAGGATTACAAATAAATAAATAAATAAATAATGCAAGAAATACAGAAACCCCCAGGTCCCTGAGCTCCAGCCCCACTAGATGTCCCTCTCGGCCCAGGGAAGGGCTCCTGAAGCAGCATCACGAGGAAGGAGGTCCAGGGAAGCGGGAAGGAACAGGCTGCAAGTTCCAGATCCCTCTCCCGAAGTCCAGAGAGGAGGGGGCCAGGAGGAGAAAGAAAGAATGAGCGGTCAGGAAAGGGAAACAAGCGTAGGCAGGATGGAGAACTGAGCCAGGCAGCTCAGAGCAGCTGGCCTTGCCTGCAAGGTGCCCAAGTGAGGACTCTGGGGGGAACAGCAGTTCTGAATCAGTTTGGAAAGTCCCATCCCTCAGTTAAAGGTCCAAGAGTCCACTGGAAGTCACCAGCTCGAGTTTCATTCTTGCAAACAGCAGCTCGCAGGCTCTTCCCCCTCTCTCTCAGCACTCAGAGGCATCAGAGAAAACTCTTTCACTTGTTTCATGTTAAAAGAGCCCTCTTGTCAGACCCCAGAAACTGCATTTCAGGTTGATGCAGCACACTTCTGACATCACAGGATTTCAGGAACACAAACCAATCCCAGTTTGTGCTCAGAGCTGGTAGGGGCAAAACACCACTGAACTGGGGATACAAACTCAAGAGTCACATCACATGGTGGCAATGACCAGGAGTTTGTGTAATCCAGCAGCGGCTCAGGCTTGTCCCCAGGCACACAAAATACAAGGGGCTGGCATTTGTGTCTCACTGCACTGGTCATCTTAGAAACTGTGAGAAAAGTGAAGAGATCAGGGAGCCCAACACACGCACTGAGGGCAATCTCTCACTCTGGGAAGCCAACACAGTCAACAGGGTCAGGAAACAGGGAGCAGAGAGGGTTTTGTGCTGCTGGGAGTTATGGGGGGGGGGGGGGGGGAGGAAAAGGCGCATCCTCTGGAAGTGAACCCAGGCAAGGCTGCCCAGAAGTCAGCTCCCCAGTGGGACTTAAAGGAGACAAGCCCCCAGGAAGGCATGCCAGATCTCCAGGAGGAATTTACAGCTGATGAACCAAAGGAAGAAATCCCACACATTGCTTGGAGAACCTTTCACACCCCCTGGTTGCTCCCATGGAATGGCAGCAAAAGGATCAGGCTGGGGCTCTGCTTCTGCACCCTGAGCCCCACATCCCTTCTCTTTTGGATACCACAGGCCACTCCAGGCACCTTTACACCCACAGCGGTCTTGGGTGCTTAAAAAGTCCTTTTGGCATCAAGGATTGTCTCCTCTTCTGCCAGTCCCCACTTCTCTGCCCCCTGCCCTTCTTGGCTGGTCCCAGGCATCGATGCTCCCTGTGAGTCCCTGGCTCCTGCACTCACTCTTGGCCCTTCCACCAGCAGATCTCCTTTGTGCTCACAAAACCAGCCCCCACTACCATCCTGAATCACATCTTTCCTCACATTCATTACACCAGGTGTTGTTTGTTCACTCCTGCAGCTGAGCATGGCAAGGTTTAGACCTCACTTCATTATCCAACACATGCACAGCCAAGCCAGTGGGGCTGGAGAGCCTGAATGTTACCTGAGAAGTGCTAAAGAGGGGAGGAAAAAGCCTCTACAGTCATTTTGGGACTTGTCTTATCTGGGAGACAACAGCCTTTCACACAGACACCTGTGCTTGTTGACCACTTAAGCACCAGTTCCCACCAGTAACAGCCTGTCCCCCACTACTCATGAGCTCTGAAGAAATCAAGTACATAAAAAACCCATCTGTACAGTATCCAACATCTCTCACAAACCAGCAGGCTCAGGTTCTCTCTTCCTTCCTCCAAACCATTTTAGGCCTTGCAAGTGAGAAAGCAGCAAGTTATCTTTGCCCTTTAAATCACCACGGGTATTTCTGCTCTCCAGCCCCATCTGTACCAGCGAGGAGAATCACTTCACATGCCACTGTCTGCTGCTGTTTTGTTTCCCACACGTATTCCCCAACTTGCTACTGGGGAGATGAGCAGGGGAGAAAGAGTTAAAACCAGCACAGCAGCCAGGCCTGTAAGTGGATTGTCTCCGTCATATCCTTCAACAGCAATGATCTCAATCCACCAGGCAGAATCTGCCTCTCAGTTACTCCAACTCTTGTCAGGGCTGAAGGTTCACTAAATGCTGAATGCCTCAGCCCTGCTTGGTTTCTCTGCTCAGTGACTCCAGTCTAGGTTGTGCTGCTAAACTGGGGCTCCACAGCCTGTGAGGGCAGTTCACCCCAGATCCTGGAGTCACTGGGTGAACCAGCTCCCATGTCCTGAGTGCTGCAGCATCAATCAGAGAGCCAGAGGGAAACACCTTTTCTCCCCTCCAGCCCTCGGGGGCCATCAAGTGACACTATTTACAGACGTGGCAGCTGCCAGACTTCCTGGAAAGCACCTGATCCAACACATGCCAGCAACTGTGTGGTGCAGTTGAGAGACATCTCAGGAGAAATCCAGGGCTGAGAGAGCCAAGTGGGGGCTGAGGGGTGCTGGATGGAGACTCTGGCCAGGTTTGGGAGCACAGACTTTGACAGAAAGGCTGTAGTAGAAGTGTTCCAGGGGAGCAGGTTCCCAGCAGCTTCCACTTGACACAGAAAAGACAAACAAACCACTTGCCTGCTGAAGCAGAGCTTGCACCTAATCCAGCACTTTCCCAGGGCTCACAGTGGGGGGCAAAAGGGACAGCAACTTCTATAAGTCAGCAGCACTGTCACCCCCAGGGAACATGAGATGCTTGGGCTGAGCCAGCTCTTCCCATCACCTCACTTCTCTCCAGCTGTCAGATGGTTCAGCTGTGCCAGGAGAGCAGCTCTGGCTTTCTCCTGAGAGATGGGAGTCCCTTACTGCACACCAGTGACCCCAAGATCGGGAATGTTCAGGAAATGCCCATTTTTAAATAGACAAAGCTGGTCTCAGCTCCATGTACAACCTAACAGGGGGGTTCTTCCACACAAATAGCAAAGGAGTTTTCCCCTGACCTTCCTCACAACTGCTGAAGAGAAGCCCAGGGAAGACACTCTGGGACATAATGGTGAACTGTAGGTGAGTTGTTTCATTACCAGGTGTAGTGGGTTGACCTGGCCAGCTACCAGGTACCCACTAAAGCCGCTCTCTCACCCTCCCTCTGCAACTGGACAGAGGAGAGAGAGAAAAAAAAAACAGCTAAGAATTCATGAGTAGAGGTAAGAGCTGGGAGAGGTCACTTACTGATCACCTTCACGGGCAAAACAGACTCAAAGTGAGGATAGTACTTATATTTACTACTAACAGGATAAGAGCCAAAGAGCAAGAAAAAAACCAGTCTTGAAAACAGCTTCCCCCCACCCCTCCTTCCTTCCATGTTCTTCCTCCTCCCCCCCAGCAGTGCAGGGGGGCGGGAATGGGGGTCACAGTCAGTTGTTTCTGCTGCTGCTCAGGGAGAGGAGTTGGAGTCCTTCCCCTGCTCCCGTGGGCAGACAGTCCTCGATGGACCTCTCAGCGTGAGTCCATCCCTCGGGCAGCAGCTCTTCCCAACCTGCTGTCCCGTGGGTCACTCTTCCGTGGGGTCAGTCCTTCAGGAATGAGCTGTACCGGCGTGGGTCCCCCACAGGGGCCACGAGTCCTGCCTGGGAAAACCTGCTCCGGGGCCTGGGCTTCCCTCTCCACGGGCTGCAGGTCCCTGCCAGGACCCTGCTCCATCCTGGGCCTGCCACGGGGTCACAGCCTCCTTCCTGCATCCCCCTGCTCCAGCGTGGGCTCCCCCATGGGCACAGGGGCACAGCTGCCCCCCCTGCTCTGCCCCGCGGGCTGCAGGGACCTGGAGCACCTCCTGCCC